CAGTATTTATAATAATCTATTTGAAAACATTTAATTAGAACATTTCGTTACGATACGGAAAGTTCCAGCAATTTGCCTTAACGCACGATGCCATGCACCACTAGTTTTGTTGTATATAAATCATATTCATAAAATTTCAGAAATTATGCATATTTCATATACATTATTATTCCTAACTTTATATTTTACCACTGAAATATTGAATCCAGAATTAGTAATATTTTATGGAAAATAAGTTATATATTTACTATTATATTTATTATTATAATCTTATATTTTTTCATATTATTGTATTTTATATATATTACATTTAGCCTCGTTTGAAAGGAAAAGTTTGTTATAGCCACAAAATTGTCTTTGCTAATTTGGTTTTGATGTTTCAAGTCATTCTGAATCATTTAACACCCAAATCAATAAAAAACATATCTGTGAGCCAAACTTGAACTTTCTCAAAAACGAACGCATCTATTTCAAAAATATAAAAACCCTTTCAAGCAACTAGAGAAGGAGTAGTCGCGTTAATTAGTTTTGCGGGACGATCGACCAACCATTTTCTTAAGAATTAGAAAAGTGTAAAATTTTTCAATTAGCTTAACCAAGTCGCTTTATTTATCTATTTTTTTTCTACAGGCTATGAATACAGATTATTAGTCCATTGCTATATAGTCGAACAATAGTTACAGATACTGATGTATAGGAAATTCTTGATTTCGGGCAAACAGTCAGTACAAAACACTATAATTTATTGCTTCAAGCCTGTCAAACACCATGCAACATCGAGAAGTAAAAGGATTCTATTGTCCGAGTATAAAGGATCCATAATGTTTTCTTCAATTTTTTTTGCGTGAATCTTGAAAAACATGGGGTTTCGGTTCGAAAATTCTGTGTGTCATATTGCAGAAGTCTAGATCAATCCCTGCACCTCGTGGGATGGCGCATTTTTTATCTCTTTGGTGAATTATGCACGCACTTCCTGGAACGTGAAATTGTACAGAGAGCTGAAATGAATCATTTTTACAAAAAAAGATATTTTTATACAAATTCTTGAAACGATTTATCAATTTTCAAGTTATATACGACGTAGTGAAAACACGTAACTAATTTCAATTTTTTGGTAGATAATATATTCAATTTTAATATGATAGTATCTAGTATCATAATGTGTTGAAAACAATATTTTCATAATAGATTTTCTTAATTTACTACTTTTATGAAGCTAACAGTTGCTTGCTCTATTAAATTACCTTACCGCTGTCATTTATTAACTTCCTGAAGGAGAAATTCATGTATTCACCAGATAATCCGCTGATTATTAATTAGGTGTTGATGATATTTCGACATTTCGTCATTCTGAACGTGACTATCAAGTGACTATGAATTCTTAGAGTCTTTTTTTAAAGTTTGACAGCAAAATTGATAAAAGTATATGAAATGTATGTGCGTGAGTCAAAAATTTCGATATTTTCCCCAAAACGGGGGTGCACAGATTTTACAAATTTTAAAAACATTTGAAAATTTGAAAGACTTGCATTAATTAATTTTTGCAAAACAAGTGCGCAAGTCATTTTTTTAGAGTTTGCAGAAATGTAAAATTTTTCCTCTATATTTTCTCAAAAAAATTTGAACCTGATGATTATTTTTTGGTAATGTTTGGCTGGGCCATTTCTCTATAATTATAACTGTTGCATTCTTTGACGGTTCTTACTTGCATTATATGATGATAGAGTTCATGATCTTAACGAACATCTTAAAATACTACGAAAAGTGATTTAATTATAAAAATTTATCAATGTCAGGAATATTGGGCTGGTTTTCATAATTCAGTTATCACAATTATAAAAGTAGCTATATCTCATTTTTTACACATATCAGAATGTTCATGCAACTTTCTTTAAGACAAAATGTCAGCAGAAAGTTTCTTGAATCATCCAAATCGGATGCTTAGTTCTCTTGAAAACTGCCATTTTTTTGTACATTTGTCTCTGTATCTTCGAAATGGCTGGACCTGTCTTTGCCAAAAACTAATCACCACTTCGCCCTACTACTAATCACCACCTACCCTACCAATACAAATTGAATATTTTTTGGATCATTCAAATTAGATACTCAGTTCTCTCAAAAACTCGATTTGTATTTTCTGCACTCTTTGCTCCATATCTCAGTAACGGCTAGGCCTGCCTTTGGCAAAAACTAATCAGCACATCTCCCTATCAAATGTTTTTTGAACCATTCAAATCGGTTGATCCGTGCGCCCGAAAACATGGAAGAAAAATTGCGGACATACAAAACACACACACACATTCATTTTTTTAGGTATGCCAAAATATTCAGAATCCTCTAAAACGTGAAGATATGCAAAAAATTTCAATTTCGATGTTCGGCTTATTACTCTAACTTACCCTACGGGAAGTTAAATGTAACTAATTTCTTCCGGATATTATATAATATTTGTATCGGCGTTTTCAAACAATAATATGACTTGATCATATGAATAAGCTTAATAAGAACATGTAATTAAATATTCTACATTATTATATGATGGTTGGTGTGAGCGCTTTCAATAAATTTAAAAATTATAACTATAATTACTTCCGAATATTATATAAACATCATATAAAATTTGTATAACCCTTATAAAATTTTTATATGACTTGATCATGTGTATAAGCTTGATAAAGGCCTGAAATTAAATATTCAATATTTTTACATGATGGTTGTTGTGCTATATAGGAATATGTACTAATATTATATGAAATTTGTTATTAATTTATCATTTCAGACTATTTTTTTCAAATACATAATTATATAATTTTATCATAAGAATAATCATGGAAAACGTAATCTTCAATGCATACATCAATGTTTGTGATTTTAGTTTCTATTAGGAGAATCTATTTTTCTTGTATCACCCACACTATTTTCATTTCACATGTTGCAATTCCTATGTAGCTTTTTTATATCAGATCCTCGCCAAATATTTACCCTTGCATCAAACGAATCCATCACCATTTTACATTGTACTTTATTTTTTGTCGTATAAAAGCGTCCGAAGTTAAAGATTACCGATTACCTTCAGATCGTCCTATAATCCTTATAAGAACGATTATATTCACCGATTCAACAATGAGTTTTTTGATACAACGAAAGTGTTAGAAATCGGCCGATGATTTTTTTATAGCCAACAAATTATTATTAACGCTCAACTTAACCCTGTGAAATAAGAATAGAAATTTCTGAGGATAAATAACAAATCTTTTTATCGCCTTGCGTTTAAATTCTAAATGCGTTTTATATGTTCCTGTGAAGGAAGGTTTACGATGTGTGAAGATATTGTCAATTTGATGTTAAAGGGTTTTTATGTTATACGTAAAAGGTATACCCGGCATGTGTTTTCAGTGAAGATTTTCGGTAGCGATTTTTTCAGTTATTCAGTTTCTATAATTATTACAGGTGAATGAACAAATGTTAGTTTTCGGTATTATTTTATGGTAAATATAATTAAGAACAAACTTAAATAAAACTATAACTAGTGGTGTATAGCATCGTACATTAAGGCAAATTGCTGGAACTTTCCATACCGTAACAAATAGTTCGAGGTATATTAAATGTTTTCGGCTGAAAATAGATTATTATAAATACTGTAGCAATGTTTAATATTTATAAGAATTATATAAACGGAATTGCAAATTTAAAATTATTTGTTTAAAGTATATAAGTGAGCTTTAGAACTATAGTCAGAATTAAAATCAAAATCTGAATTATTTTCGATATACAAAAAACAAACAGAAAGTTCTTTCAATCATTCAAATCGGACGTTTAGTTCTATCAAAAACTGCCATTTTTTATACATTTAGCTCTGTATCTCCAAAATGGCTGTACCTGCTTTTGCCAAAAACTAATCACCACTTCTCCTAATCATAACGAATTGAATTGATCATTCAAATCGGATACGCCGTTCTTTCAAAAACTTGATTTGTATTTTCTGCACTCTTTGCTCTGTTTCTCCGTAACGGCTAGACCTGCTTTTGCCAAAAAACTAATCAGCACATTTTTGAACCATTCAAATCGGTTGATCCGTGCGCCCGAAAACGTGGTCGAAAAAATGCGGACATACAAAACACACACGCACACACATCCATTTTTTCTGGGGCATGCCAAAATGTTCAGAAACATTCAACATGTGAAGATATGCAAAAATTTTCATTTTTGATTTTCGGCCTATTATTACAACTACCCTACGGGAAGTTAAATATAAATCTATCACTGCAACGCATTTACGCTTCGAATTTTGATCAGATTATTGGGCATTTTTCAAGCATAGATGGTGACTTGTTAGTCTGTGATTTTTTTGATAGAATATTCATTATTATAGAATTCTTACACAGTATATTCTTTCTGCTTTGATGAAATAAATCTATTTGAACTGTTAATGATGAATGCACAATATTTTTTAAAAAAATATAAGCATAATTTAATATATTTTTAAGCATTATTGAATAATATACATTTATAATTTATTTAATAATGCTTGTTTATTATATAGATTTCAATCTATTCTACAAGTATAAGGATTTAGTGCAATCTGTTTCATATATGAAAGTTATAAAATATTGTAGTAATTCAACATATTTCAATAAAATGTAGCCTTGACCGAAATCTATGACCGCCTTGACCGCCATGATTAAATAAAAAATAAAATTTATTTATGTGCTTTAGGCAAATTTAAGAATATTATATTCATTTTTGAAAATTGCGATTTGACATGTTAATCAAATATTTTATACCGATAATAAATGTAAACCATTATATCCTTTTCAATCAATTGTTATTGCATAAAATGTTGTTGATAAAATAATATAATATAATAATTCAAATTACTTTATTATATTAGAAATAATTTATGTAAGTTCAATAGAATTTATTATCAAATAGCAGTGACAGTGACAAAGGTGATGTTCAAAGAAAAAGGATAAAGTAAAAAATGCAATATTTATGTTCTATTAAGTTTTAGCAACATATTCTTTTGCAATAATAATATTCGGTGGTAAGCCTTTTAGAAACTTTTCAGTTATATTGTTTGTTTTCTCAAAATAATCTGCAAGAGCTCTGGTGTCTAGAATGCCCATGTTTGTTTTATTGACAGTAGATTCTAGCAAAACACTATATCCATCACCTCCTTGGGCAACATATGAACTAGTTATTAATGTATATACGGTAGTTTCTTCATAAGTTGCGTACTCCGCACTGTTAGCCAATTTTACTTTTAAATCAATAACACGACTGCCATTATCTTTTGTAAGATCGTATGTAACATTTATATTTGCCACTTGTGGAAATTCACCTCGCTCATTGTTCACTGTGTATCTGCAATTAATCGATAAATAGAATTCAATTCCGTATTCGTTTATGTAAAGCAAATTAATTATATTAGTCTCTGTATAATACAATGGTACTAACCTAGTTACACCCCATTCTAGCATTGCTTTTAATTGTTTGCCTGTTATTTCACACTTAAATAAAGTACTCTCATAAGGCATCACCGACATTAACATTCCATAAATAACTGTACTGTTTTCATATGGCATCAGATTGGATCTGATTCCTCCAGCATTTTGTAGAACAATTAAATCAAATGTTTTATTCTTTTTTGGTTTATGATTATTATCAATTTCTATCATACTATTTATTCCTAAATATTTATAAGCAGCTTGTAACATAGCTTGCGTTACTACTTTTCCTATGTCGCACTCTTTTTGCCTGCATCCATTTACTAGTAAAGGAATACTATAACCCACAACTTGATTTACTAATTTGTCTACAGGACCTTTATAAATTTTCATAAATTCAACCACATCCAAAGCCTGTGGTATTTTATTATCTAGCAACAGAGGTTGTCCGCAACTTCTGATAACTTTACCACATTTACTGAACGTTACCATTAATCTTCCAATATATTTAGTATGTGCATATGCTTGAACTACTGGTACAACTTTACTTGATACATTTTGCTTAACTTGTACAGGATATTCACCTTTTGGTTGCTCACTGTCAGGTTCTTTACCATTCCAAAGAAATGTGTTTGAATGACCACCAACAACGATGTCAATGTCTTTGACTTCTGCAGCAATTTTTTTGTCCATGTTATGACCAGAATGGCCCAAGGCTATCAATATTTTGACACCTCCTCTTTTCAGTATTCCAGCTTCTCTTTTAATTGTTTTAATTTCATCGTTAAATGTTATATTATTCGCAATCGCCATTAGTTTAGTATCAGGTAATACATATCCTATAATTCCAATTAAACGTCCATTTACCCTATATACCACAGATCTCTTTAAAGATCTTTGCTTTAATAATCCAGGTTCTTCAGAAACGTCGATATTAGCAGCAACTACCGGATATCCATAAGTTAAATTTAAATATGTTTCTAAACCTTTTGCACCCAAATCAAATTCATGATTTCCGAGACTCTGAAGTAATTAAATTTATTCTGAATATTAATTAATATTTTATTTTTATTATAATATCTAAATTATAGTTTTACCGCAGCATCTGGCCGGAGGAGATTCATACTTAATGCAACTAATGGTGCTTTATGCACCATGAACCAAGGTGACCCAGCAAATGTGTCACCAGCATTTAAATACAAAACTGGTGGACCACCTCTTTTTGCATCTTTTCTTGCGCGCCTTACCCTTAAAATAGAATAGAAATATTATAAATCTTTAGATTTATACTACAGAATTGAAATCTATCACATCCGTGTCAACAATTAATACCTTTTTTGATATTTTAATGCAACATTAAATGAAGTTCAACAGATAACATGATAATAGTTATTAAGAACTGAGAAGAATGTATATTATGGCGGGTCGATTTAAAAGTCCCTTAGGCGCATATGATTTTCGGATACTAGAGATTAAGATAAGATACTTTGCTGAAGAAACCATACCTCTAAAATGAATTCTGATGACCCAAAAAGTATGCGATTTTTTTTTACCCATACAAATCGACCCGCCCTAATGTATATAATCTATGTACATGAAATGTACATAATTTAAAAAAAAAAAATCGATATTATAAAATAGAAATATTGCTTACACTGTCGCAACTCTTGCCATTCCTCCATAGCATTTGTTCTCTGCCTTAATTTCGTCTGGACACTCATTTTGTTTAGCGTCTGTTTCCACAAATCTTGAATGCATATCATTATTATGTAAAATTAATAGATTCCATTCTCCTTTCTTCAGCTTTGCTCCTAAATAATAAAATTTTAGTGATTTATTCAATAAATATTGAATAATTTAAACCAAGCATATATAAGGTGTAAAAAAGACTATTAGCTGATAGTGTTATGGCATTTGTTGGATACAATAAGCTTCAAAAACTCTAGTGAATCAGATCTTGTAATGCGTAAAATAATATATACAAATTTGAAAATTTATAACAAATCAAGTAGATTTTTTGCCTGAAAATCTGAAATTTTACGCCCACACATATTTGTAATGAAACTGGTAAAATGCTGCATTTAAGTTTGGCTTTGTGCGAATCAGAAGCGAATTTTTTTAAGGTAAATGAGGTGATAGTTTTTTCAGTCAAATTGTCGCAATAAATACTAGTATTGTTTATTTTGTACATTTCAACACTGTATGACTTATCATTCAGCAAGATCTAAAAAGTTGCATGTTTTAAACACTTCACAAAAATATAATAAATATATTAACACACAATTGTGAACAAAAACATATATACTCAAAAATAAAAAATATAGGATACTAATTTAATACTAAGTTAATGCGTTAAAAATTTTTTTTCGACGATTTTATGATTATTTTTTGGCGGTAGATAACCATAGTCTTATGAATCAATCTAAAATATTACGACCCTACGACAAGTCGTTTAATTTTAAAAATTCTTCAAAGTTTGCAAAAATTAGTATTGTTTTTTTTGGCATTTGTCAAAATTAGACCATCGACGTTGGCTCAAAAACTCCTGAACCGATTTCAGAAGTATAAAAGCCATTTGATGTATCACAATGAGGACTATCGTTTGTCAGTTTTGTGCGACGATTAACCAAGGCATTTTTTTGTAATTTACTAAAAAGTGTTAAACTTTTCGTTCACATTTAAGCCCATACTACCGAATCGCTTTCAAAAAATCACAAAACTGTTCGAAAGATATTAGTTTGGAATGATACTGAATGATAAGTTTTAGGTGGAAATCTACCGGGCCGTTTTCTTGTAATTAAGTAACTGTTGAAAAAAAAATTAAGCTGACTTTTATAGAACTTTTTTTGACGATATATATCATGGTCTTATAGACCTTACTGAAATATTACGGCCTTACGACAAGTAGTTCAATTTTAAAAATCCATTAAATTCAGTCGGAGAAAATAAGTAGTTTTTTTGAAGTTCGTTAAACTAAAATTGGACGATTTAATTGGTATAACGATAGAGTACTTGATCTTAATGAACATACTAAACCACTAAAGTCCTACGGAAACTGGTTCAATTATAAAAATTATTGATTTTTTTGAAAATTTGCTTTTAGAAAATAGTCCGAATTAACGTGGTCGTTCGTTTTCAATTGTGTATAATAATTTCACTAGAGATTACTCAACATTAGTTTTTGTTTCATTGATTAAGTCGATTATTTACACATATCGAGAAGTTCGTGTAACTTGCCTCAAGGCAAAATACCAATACCAACTAGTTAGTATAATGTTTAAATTGTATAATATTTTGGAGCTCGTTGCCATGTACAAAAAATAAATTATTTACGTGTTTATTGCTTTTTATTTCGACATCCCAGAAATATGTTCCAACGTCGAAATAAAAACTTTTTTCCTTTAAAAACATGATTTAAACATATTAATTATATAGATCAGGAATATTAAAATAAATTATAACTATTTATTGCCAATACTTGCTGAATCTCTGCATTGTTCTATTTTCAAAAATGGTGTTTTTGATCTTTTGTATCTCCCATAACGGCCATCTACACCGATTAAATGCATGTAACACAAACCAACAAATTATCAATCGCAATTTTTGCATATTGCAATATACAACTATGAAACTGTTTTAAGAACTAGTACGTACCATATAATTAATATGATGCAATATGGAAATTTCACATTGTTGATATAATAGATATAAGTAAATATTACCTAATACTCTATAATAGTGATTTCAACACTATGGAAACTATACATCTTGGACAATAACAAAAAACATTTTATTGAATTAATTTAAAAATATATCGAAAAATAAAAACTAAGTGTAAATGAAGTTTTTGAATTCAAAAAGTTTCAATAACTTCCGGGTATGTGTACATTCTAAATATACTTTCTACAATCTACTTGAATTAGAATGGCATTTTATACATTTAAATAGAGGATATATGGTTTTAATTATTTGAGAAAATTTTATTTTTAAATTGCCAAGTAAATATGTAGAAACAAAATACACTATAAACTACATAACAATTGTTTAGCTTAATTGGCTTAAGCCATTGTGTGAATGTATTTATTTACTTATCAGTATACTGGCAAATGCCTATACAATTTTGAATGAATGAATATTAATTCAAAAAGTTATTTTAAAGTCAAGTTTTGTAGGTTAATAAATCAATTTTAACCACAATTTCATTTTTCAATTTTTACATAATATACATAATTTATATGTATAATATAAAGATTTCACGTTACGCCTATTAGATTACTTGCACTCTTGCCATAGCATCTTACCCATCAGGGATAAGGGCTTAGGCTGGACAGGATCGCCTGGAATTGCACACACCTTTTATAAATCGCTTAGAAAAACACATAGACCAATTTTAACCTCTTAGGACAGAGGTCGGCAACGCGGCGCCCGCGGGCGCCATGGCGCCCCCGATCAACTTTAGATGCGACCTCGGTTAATGTAAATGTATGATAACCTTAGCATAAATCAATTTCACATTTTCCAAATATAAGGCATATTGTTGTAAGTCTAAAAATAAATATAGAAAATTTTACTACTACATCATATTTAGAAGTTATAGTCAAATTGACAGAAGAGTTTTGTTCAAGAATTCGTAGCACTAGAACCCGTTCTAGGATTTTTTATAAACCCATTCAAAGTTGCCGAAGATGATCTTCTGCAAAGTGTTTCAGTGCATTTCGAAATTAGTAATATCGAAGACGTGGTGTTAGAAATAATAAACTTACAAAATGATATTATTTTAAAAGCACATAGTAATGATAAAATGTTTTGGAAGTCAATGAAAATACGTATCCTATTTTAAGGAAATGTGCGCTAAAAATTTACTCATATTGTGCAACAACATACAATTGCGAGTCTTTGTTTTAAATAAAAATTGAAATTAAAATACCGAACAAAGTTAAATGACACACATTTAGATAACTGTTTGTGGAAAGGGAACTTTAATTATATTCCCGATTATAAAAAATAGCTGAAAATACGGACACACAAGTTTCACACTAAATTATGTGTTTATAATTAGGTATTATTAAATCATACTCTTCTTTTTTCGATGTACTGAATGTTCGTAATGTATATATTATATTATATTAAGTCTTAGTAACTAAGAGAATAAAGTTATGAAAAATCTTTTTTTTCATACCGATGCGCCCTCGGTAATTTTCAGATTTAGTTTTGCGCCCTTAACGGCAATCAGATTGCCGACCCCTGTCTTAGGACATAGTTTGTTTTAATACCAGCATATTCATCTTGCTCATAAAAGTGAACTTTTCGACTCGTCTGACCGATACTTGAAGTGCAGGTTGAAATCTCCTTGCAATTTGATTTTTGAGCTTCTCAATGAATAAATAAAATCGCAAATAAAATTAAAGCTTATAGGAACAAGTATTTTTTGCATTTCCAAAATCCTGGTTGATGTGCAAAACTAAAACCTGCCAGGCGATGGTTTTTATATTTAGCATGGTAATAATAAACAGTGCAGAAAATTTTAGCCTTACAGGAATACTTTTATTCAAAAGATTTAGTAATTTTCCACCTATAAGAATATTTCAACACAGTGATGATGAAACAATAATTTAATCAGTGAGTAGTGTATGGCATCGTGTCTCAAGGCAAATTTCTGAACTTTTCGTTTTGTTAACTTTGAAAAAAATTGGTTTTTGAGAAATTTTCAATTTTTTTTGAAATATTTGGAAATTATGGACTTTTTTCAAAGCAATCGCACTGCTTTAGGTGCATAGAGACGAACCATCGAAGCGCGTAAGCGCCGCGTCGGCGTTTCACGGACAAACATATGTTACGGAACCCATAGAAATATAAATAAAATTGATACACATTATTAAAATCTCTATAAAATATCTGATAATTTTTATAGAGATCGCCAAATGTATTTTTTTTACTTTTTTTATTAGATCTCCGAAACCGCTAGACCTGGCTACCCAAAAATTTTATCAGTTCTTCATCTTGTCAATACAAGTAAAATGCTTTTTTAATTATTAAAATCGGATGCTCCGTTCTCTTAAAAACATTTACAGTTTTTGGCACTTTTTGCCCCGTATCTTCGGAACGGCTTGACCTGCCTCTGCCAAAAACTAATCAGCACGTCTCCTTATTAATACGAATCGATTTTTTTGCGATTACTATAACTTACCCTACGGAAAGTTAATAAAAAAATGTAATTAAAAACTTCACTTTACAATTACTTTTTTATTTCTTAATCAATTCCAAGGGAGATTGATGTTACAATTAGAAAAGTTTTTTTAAGTCACTTTTTTCAAGTAATTCTAAGTAAATAAAATCTGAGGTCATGGGAAATGATTATCTTTACTTTGGTTTTTTCTTTCTGTAATGTAATGAAATTTGTTCACATTATTATAGTATTCAACATGTTTTCATGTATAAATATATTTTAGTTGAAGCATGTGAAAAAAATACTATAAAATAATCCATCTACAGTTCTTGTGTTGGAATGCTATTTTATAAACCACCAAGTAAATGCCTTAGTCTGAATCAAATTGCATAATATTCATATGCGACACCACATTTACACATCTCACATGTAATTTTATTAGTTTGGCTTTATAGACTTAAAAAGATGTTAAGTCATTGCCGTGAATATTCAAAGTAGTGCAGTAAACGGAGCGTTTTAGGTCTGAATTTTTTTACTGTGCTCCGAATTTCATGAAATTTTGGAATTAGGTTCATCTTACCCTCAAATTCAAAAGTGAAAACAATTCGGGTTGCGCCATCACCCCCCGGGGGGATGACCCCCCTCTCAATTGTGTAATTACATTTTTTAAAATAACGTCGGAAATCGATAGAAGAGCTAATTATAATAAAAAAAGTCTTCTATAGTTTTTCAAAAAAACTAATACTTTTCAAGTTACTGGCCACTAAGATTCATATATTTTTGGCGTTTTCTTCGTCTTTTTGCAAATATCTCCTAAATTATACATTTTAACGAAATTCATGTAATGAACAAAATAATGTCAATAAAAATCTTAATAAATCGGTATTACATAAAGTGTTCTAGGAAAAATATTAAGCAAGATTTGAAAGAGCAAAGTCGTTTTTTATTTCGTTCAAGATTTAATTGTTGTATTTAAAGCCATCTAGTGTCGAGGTTTTACATTTTATGCATTTCGGTGAAATTGGGTTTTATAGTGCTCAACATAAGCTTTAAAATGAGTGCTGTTACAAGTTTTTTGCGTGTAAATGAGTGAGCTATCATGCAAATAAGAAGGCATATACGAAGTTTTTTTCTTTAAATCATATGGTTTAATGAGCGCCATTTCCACCAGAATAAAGTAATTCACATTCCATCTAGAATTCACTTTATTATAGACATCTTGATGGATTCTAGTAGATTCACTACTTTAGTACAAACTATTTTCAGAAAACTCACGATTTTATAAAAACTTTTTTTTCAATTTTTTTTAAAATCGAAATTATTTCCATTATATCTCAAAAGAATAAAAGATACGTATAAAAGCTTATAGATAAAAATCAAAGGAATCTTCTGGCTTTATTATGTTTTTTATTATTTTTCTTTCACACAAAAATTGACAGAGTTATGAATGTTTAAAGACTGCGCGACCGCGCAAATTGGAAAAAAAAGTTTTTATAAAATCGTGAGTTTTCTGAAAATAGTTTGTACTAAAGTAGTGAATCTACTAGAATCCATCAAGATGTCTATAATGAAGTGAATTCTAGATGGAATGTGAATTACTTTCATTCTGGTGGAAATGGCGCTCATTAAACCATATGATTTAAAGAAAAAAACTTCGTATATGCCTTCTTATTTGCATGATAGCTCACTCATTTTACACGCAAAAAACTTGTAACAGCACTCATTTTAAAGCTTATGTTGAGCACCATAAACCTAATTTCACCGAAATGCATAAAATGTAAAACCTCGACACTAGATGGCTTTAAATACAACAATTAAATCTTGAACGAAATAAAAAACGACTTTGCTCTTTCAAATCTTGCTTAATATTTTTCCTAGAACACTTTATGTAATACCGATTTATTAAGATTTTTATTGACATTATTTTGTTCATTACATGAATTTCGTTAAAATGTATAATTTAGGAGATATTGCAAAAAGACGAAGAAAAACGCCAAAATATATGAATCTTTAGTGGCCAGTAACTTGAAAAGTATTAGTTTTTTTGAAAACTATAGAAGATATTTTTTTATTATAATTAGCTCTTCTATCGATTTCCGACGTTATTTTAAAAAAATGTAATTACACAATTGAGAAGGGGGGTCATCCCCCGGGGGGTGATGGCGCAACCGAATTGTTTTTACTTTTGAATTGAGAGTAAGATGAACCTAATTCCAAAATTTCATGAAATTCGGAGCACAGTAAAAAAATTCAGAGGTTATACCCTTTTTCCCTCTCCGTTTACTGCACTAAAGTGATTCCTACAATATTTAGATAAAATAATTTTATTATTAAATTATTTTAGCTTCTAAGTTTATTTTAGTTATAATAATAAACTAATTTGAATTTTTTAAACTACAACTGTTAATATTCACATGATATAAATTATCTAAAATATATTCTAATAATAAACATATATCAAACTTATCAATTATAAAATCTTAACTTATTCACTTTGAATACAAAATTTTAATTTATGGCACATTTAGAAATAATTTTACCAAATTATTTTACAAACTTCATGTTAAAAATGATTTTGGCCTAATTTTTTCATAGAAAAACGTTTGAGGGAGACCATTCGGTGTTAAAAATTTCTTCTTCACATGTGCAAAATGGTTTGCAGCAAATTGATACAAATCATTTTCCATTTGCCATATTGCAGATTTCTTTATTGCCGCTACAGTTTTTTCCATAGGTTCAAGTTTTGCAACTGTTTGCCTTAAATGTGACTTATTGCTCGTTTGGTAATATTCTGTTGCACCTTTGAATATCCTGGAGAATAGAATGTGTTGAGTATCAAATGATTGTAATTTATATAAATAAATATAAATATGAGGTTTGCCAAATTAATTCCTAAGAAACTAAACAAAATATTGATTGATAAATGCACGCAAGTATATAAATCATAAATCTAATATCTAAGATATATATTAGAGTTTTAGTATTTTGTTTAATCAGACCTGGGTAGAGAATTTTCTAAAATTCTTATAAAATCTTCTAATTGTTCCGTCAATCCAACCAAAAAATAATTATTGATCAAATTTCTTTTTGCTTCTTCTAAAGCCCACCTACTGCCCGGTTCCCAACATTCTGCGGCATGACCACAAAGAAATGGTATTTGTAACCACATATTATTTGGATCACAATCTGGTTGTTTCAACTCTACACACTCGTCAAATGTCTAGAAATAATTCAAGTAATTATTAACTATAGTATTAAACAAAAAACAGGACAATGAGTGAGTTAAAAATATAATTTATTTTACTCTTCTAATTTCAGAGTCCTAATCTTTGAACCATATATACTTCCTCAAAAGTGAATTTATTAGCACCTTTTTTAAATTGATAATTTATAAATTATCGTTAATTAACTTCATAATTATGTAACATTATAATAACATTAACTAGGATACAAAAGCAAGTACATCGAGTTGTGCATTTCTTGAAATATGACTCAACAAATATATGCATATGCATTCAAAAATCGTAGCATAAATCAAAAGTATAATTATTGGATCTAGTATTTTTAGTTAGGCTGCACCTAACTATTTACTTATAATCAAATATGACTTGGCAAATTTCTAACAACATTAGAATGCAATAGGTATACGTCAATTTAGTTTCAGAAAATTTAATATTTGAATAATTGTAGTTACATACCATTTTATTCCCATGTTTCTTCCTCATTAGATATGGACGAAAATTATCACCATTGCGCAAAAAATAATAATATGAAACTAATCTATCTAAGGGTTTCCTTAGTAAGTTTATGAACAATGGACTGGAAGGACCTCCTAATCTGAAATCCAAATTCAATATTATGTAAAATGTAATTGGTCACTTGCAATAAGACGTAATGGTCATGACTGAAATCTTAAGCTTAATTAAACTAAAGGAAATTATTGAACTGTACCTCGAGAAATCCAAATAGGCTATGTGTCCATGATAAAAAGCTGGCTTCAACTTGTTCCATTTTGAAACATTATGGGCAAATTTATACTGATTTTCTAATGACATTACATGCATATTAGCGGTTACATTAATATGCAAAACTCGAAAATCATTCCGTTTACATAGATCATATGCTACACCAACAAAACTTGTCGATCCTGTTTTTTGGACTCTTGTTATTATAACTATAATATCATCTGCTTTATAATGTTATTAACATTCTGATTGGCTGCAATTACATTTTGAGCTGACGTCTGTTGTAAATTCTGACCCAGTCTCTCTAAAATGATGTAGTGTTATTGCAGTATATTGAAAAAATATTTTCTAAATCACATTAATTTAAAAACATACCTAAATGATCATTCTTCTGTGATAAACTTGTTATTTGCGTTTAAATAAACAACAAGAATTATAGCCGAGCATAATATGAGGAAACCAACATACATTTTTGAAGCTGCCATATTTTAATATCCAATGCATTATTTATTATAACTTTTAGAACCATAGTAAAATTAATTGTTTTAGCTAGTCATTTTATCAATCGTTGTTTATGCGTATCATATTAATTATAGAAACATAATAACTTTTATATATTTTTTGTTGGGATCTTATATTCTTAGATAACTGTTATTTATTTATCCACTATAATTATTTACTAAAAAAATTTTTAATATTATAAATTAGAGTTTTTGACTTCTTGATAATAATCCAAATATTTTGTAGGTTATAAATATAAATAAAAATAAACATAGTATGAGATCTCAAAATCAATTTACTCAAAACTCAAAGAGAATAACTGCACTGACTGCACTTCTTTTTGAAATATTTTTTTACACATAAAGCCATCTGTGAACTAGACTTACATGCAGTGATGATTTAAAAATAAAACTAGTGGTGTATGGCATCGTGCCTCAAGGCAAATTGCTGGAACTTCCTGTACCGTAACGAAATGTTCTAGGAATATTAAATGTTTCCAATCTATTAGAATAAATACTGTAACATTGTCTATTATTTATAAGAATTATATAAACTGAGTTGCAAAGTTAAAATCATTTATTTAAAGTATATAAGTGAGGTTTTACAGCTGTAGCCAGAATTAAAATTAAAATCTGATTTATTTTCGATATATCAAAAAAAAAATTTTTTTAATAAAAAATTAAACTATTTTTTTTTCAAAAGCGTTTGTTTTGTCAACAAATAGATCAATTCAAATCGAATGCTTAGTTCTCTCAGAAAACGGCCATTTTTGTACATCTAGCTCATTATCTTTGAAATGGCTGGAGCTGCCTTTGACTAATCTTCTCTTAATCATTACTAACTAAATGTTTTGGGATCATTGAAATTGGATACTCTGTACTCTCAAAAACTTAATTTCTTTTTTTTTGCACTCTTTGCTTCGTATCTCCGTAACGGCTGAACCTGTCTTTGTCAAAACTAATCAGCACATCTCCCTATCAATAGGAATCGAATGTTTTTTGAACCTGAACCATCCAAATCGGTTAATCCGTACGCCTGAAAACACGCTCACACATGCACACACACATCATTTTGTTCTGAGGTATGCCAAAATGTTCAGAAACCTCTGAAACATGAAGAAATGCAAAATTTTCATTTTCGATTTCAGAGTTAATATTTATTGAATTAAATTAAATTTAAATTACGAAATAATCTATTAATAATGTCGGGTATTTTCTGAAACATGAGTTCATAGATAAAAGAAGCATGAGTTGATATGGGGTCATTTTTCCGCCACTATACAATATGAGAATATAATATCAATATGAATAAATTATATTCTAATATTGTCTAGGATAAATGAATATTCATTATCTGACTTATGTGATAAATAAAGTTATAACTTTTAAATTATTTCTAGATAACGAAAAATATCATTTCTAGTTTTAGATTAAAACTCTAGTTATAAATTATTGCTTATACTAGACATAGATATCAATATTGCAATTAAGATGATTTGTGAAAAAGTGTAGGATAATTTTAACAATTATTTTAGGCAAGTAGCCAATATGAGTTCCACTACTATCATAATATTTAGAATTTAGAATTTTCAATTTTTTTTATTATGTTTAGTCCATATCTTCAGTCTTCACTATTTTTAACTCCCGTAAGGTAAGTTATAGTAATGGGCCAAAAATCGAGAAAGAAATTTTTGCATATCTTCACTTTCAAAGGTTCTGAACATTTTGCATACCTCAGAAAAATGGATGTGTGTCGGCATTTTTTCGTCTACGTTTTCGGGCGCACGGATCAATTGATTTGAATGGTTAAAAAACATTTGATTCCTATTGATGGGGAAATGTGCTGATAAGTTTTTGGCAAAGACATCCCAGCCGTTTTGGAGATACGGAGCAAAGAGTGCAGACAATAAAAATCGAGTTTTTGAGAGACGGACTATCCGATTTAAATGATTCAAGAAACATTCAATTCGTAATGATGGGGAAGTGGTTATTAGTTTTTGATAAAGGCCGGTCCAGCCGTTTTGGAGATACGGAGCAAAATGGACAAAAATTGGCAGTTTTATTTAGCATCTAATTTGAATGTTCCAAAAACTTTTTGCTTGTTTTGACAAAATAATTGCTTTTGAAAAAAAATTTTTTTGATCTAATTTTTTTTTCAAAAAAATTTGTTTAGATTTTTTTTGTGTATCGAATTAATTTAAATTAATAATTTTAACTTTGTAATTTAGATTATATAATTCTTATAAATTTTAGAAAACGTTACAATATTCATAATAATCTATTTGAAAACATGGGAAGTTCCAGCATTTGCCTCAAGGCACGAGGCCATACACCACAGTGTTGTTCGTTCTTTGAGCGCGTTTTCCTGGGTTGAAGGTAACATATAATAATACTTCAGTAAAGAATATTGAGTATAGTATCGAGAGGTACGTCTAACTAATGTGACAGAAAATGTCAAAAAAGCAATACCAATGGAACGACTTGTAAGAAAATGTGCAACTCGCGTATAACATTAAATATATAATTTAAAATGATATGTTATATAAATAACATATATAAGGAAAACAAAATGATTTTTATTATTTCATAAGTTATATAATAAATATACTAACATGGCCTGCTCTTATAAGAAAGCTCATTTTAGAAGCGTATTGCAGCAAAATCCTTTTTTATCTAATATATCATTAGATGGAACTTATCGTGACACAAGCTTGGGTAAAAGTGTCAATATTGGCTGCAAAAATGTTAATTCAGAAGACACAGAAAATAACAAACCAGTTGGACAAAAAATTGAATGGAATAATACAACGAGCGATAATGAAAACAATGATTCATACTGTGTAAGGAAACATAGTCCAAATTAACACTAAGCATAGGAAAAATCTGGACAGAAGGAGTTCCTATAGTTCTGATTCTGAAAGCGGTTTAGTTTTCGTCTAAATTTACCTTTGCTAGATAAATCAATTGCTTGCTCTACTCCAGCCAGGATAGGTATTTTGCTTTAATATAACTATTACCTATTTTTTCATATCTATGGATAGTCTTAAATTATTATAAAGTATGCTTTTTTAATAATATTGACAAACCAGCAAAATTTTCCAAATTTATGTAGCTTTAATCAAATTTGTGTATTATTCTTTTGTGAGAAAAATCACATAACGATAATGCATTGCAAATCTCACTGATATATGCCATTTGGTAATTTATCAATGTTTTACTGAAATTTTACTTAATTGATTATAAATGCTATAAATTTCTTCAAATATTTTAATATATAATACTGATAATTATGTCTTGTATAGTTTTTTAACAAGTTGCATCTTAATTATTATCTAGAACCAGCAGTGTTTCAGAGCGTAAGCATATACTTACATCTAATTCAAGAAGGAATACTGGAAGTTTCTCGCAAATATTAGCAGGAAGGAATGCCCATGCAACAGAATTAGAACGTGGTTTGCCAAATAGTAGTACAGAGAGTTTAAGTCATGGTGTGTAAATATACATTTCTAATTATTTGACAATAACTAGAATTGTTTTTCTTTATTGTAACGTATACCCATTATAATTTAATATAATATTTGTCTCTATTTTTTTAATTATAATTTAAGCGATTACATATTAATATAACAGCATTAAACTACATCTTGATAATAATGGATTATTGAATAATAATGAATAATATTTGTTACAATACTTTTAAGTCAAATTCTGCATTATTACCTGACTATTTAGTAAACCCTCACTTATTTGTAAATAGTTTTTTTCATGTAAAATCATTCCAGATAACTTCTTATCTTTTCTTAAATAAATATGGGCAATGGAAATCTGATTACATTTTTGATAAAACAAAGAGATCACACAATTATCATAATAGCATTTTTGACTGGTCAGGTGGTTTAAACTGCAATTAAAATGAATTCAAATGAAAAATGTATATTAATTTATTATTAATTATAATTTGATTTATGCTTATTTATTTGAATTATGAAATTTATGCTAATATGCGAATAATAAATTTATTTTAGGTCGAGCTAGAAATATACTATTGGAAGCAAAGCCTAAAGAAGTCAGATTTATACAAGCTGATGAATCTCATAGATTTAGAGAAGGACGTATGGTTTTGGTCTCACAAAATAAAATACCTTTTATGATATTTTCTGCTCTGCCATATTATAAAGGTGCAAGGAATGGAAGGTGAAACAATAATATTATCTTTAACTTTATATATTTTATACTAGAAATTTTATTATATCAAATATTATGTGCTTATAAATATAATTATTTAAGGCCTGAAATTCGTAGAGAAGGAGGCAGACGTCGCAATACTTCAGGTACGAGACCTTTGTCAAGCATTAATGATGTTTCTTTGGATCCTTTTGATTTGTGGGTATAGAGAAAGGTGAAAATGGGCAGGTATTAAGTTCAATACTTATTTGTTAATACTATTAAATCATACATCATATAGAAGTTTATATCTTAAATACTTACATTTCAGTGATGTTGCTTAATATTTAACTCAAAAATGCTCTAAAACAAATTTATGTATTCATATATCTTTTTCAAAATTTAAATAATAGTCTAAAATTGAATTATTTAGAAATGTCATACGGAAAATTATTGGTTCCTACAAAAACTGCTAGGAAACAACCTGTGGAGTGTGATACCGTTGATGGTGTAAGAACTTCTATTCCGAAATGCCATCAAGGATCAAGGTGTGATGTGTGAAAA